TAGCATTAATGTATGTCGCCTTTTATGGGGTGAGGAACTTTACAGAAAACTATTGTTTATAGTAACCCCAGATGGTAAGATTTGCGTAAAAATTTATAATTTTTCAAAAATTGTTCTATTTGCGTATTACGTAGCCCTTGTCTGCCATATCCCAACTGAAACAGGGTAGCGAGTTTTTTTATGATTTAAAATTCCCGGTTTTTCCCAGTCAATTTTTCTGAATTTCCCTGTCACATTTTTATTCATAAATCATATTGAAATCTTCATTGAAAAAATTTTTTTAAACAGTTTAATATGTAGGTAAAAAATTCTTGGTTCAATGGTAAATTACCCGGTTTTTTCGGGTTAATTTTAAAAATTCCGGTTATTTCCCGGTTTCACGGTCCACTCGCCACACTGTGAAAAAATCCGTCTGGATTTTCCACGTGGAAATCCAGATGGAGATTTAAAATAATTTAAATGGAAATCCACATGGAAATTTTCCATTTTTTCTATTTTTAAATATATTTGAGAATCGACATCAAATTCGAATTCTGAGATCCCAAGGGGGTCTCACTCACGATTCTTAAAATTTTTTAAAAAGAGGTAAATCAGGGGGGATTAGTTAATCAATTACTATAAAGTCAATAAAATAAAATAAAATAATTACAGAATGAAAAAATATTCATTTGACGAAATATATACATATATTATTTTAATTATTATAAACTTTTAATTAGGTTTGTCCGAAAATTGCTAAAATCTGTCAGTTATACACGATTGTTATGCGCATAAATGATAAGGTATGTATAGAAAAATAGTTATTGCAAAGTAGTTCTAATATTAATTTGTATATCTCAATAGTAAATTATTTTTTAGAGGGATGATGTTTAAGATGATTATGTTTCATGTTCTTTAAAATTTTTAAACGGAAATGTCTATTTTTTTAATATTTAAAAATAATTGATTTTTTAATTTACAGGATTATATTATAGCAATATTTTATAGTGCCATCTGATTGAAACTTTAAGTAAATGTTATCTAATTACATATATTTCGTGTCATTCTTTCATAGAGTGTTGGAGCAGTGTTTTTATTGATGACAAGGCGCACCAAGGCATTGTACAAGAAAGTTTTCTTAAAAATTCAGGAATTGTGCCCTAAATTAAGGGATGGTCTTGAAGATGCCATGTTAGATTTTGAACCTGCCGTACAAAACGCGCTTAAGGCATTATTCCCGAATTGTAAAATTCATGGATGTTGGTTTCATTCTAAAAAGGTAAAATTTTTGATGGTGTAAGATAATTTGATTGCGAATCTGGCATTAGATCTTTAAAAAATTAAAAATGGTACATCCAATATGGTGGACGATGTTTTTAAAATTGATAGGAGTCACTTGAGAATCGTAACTCGGGAATTTCAGGGTTTGTTGATTACGAATCTGGTTTTAAATTTTAAAAATTAAAAATGGCGAATGTAATATAGCGGAATATTTTTCGTTAACACTTTTTTAAATAAAATCACTTAAATTTTTTAAATTTTATTTCTTAAGAGTTTTTGCTGCTCTTGGTTTCATTAAAAACATGGGACATTCATCTATTATATTTATTCATCTTAAATTTTCAAAAGCAATCTTGACACTTAAAGAATAATTATTGTTAAATTAACGAATTATTTAAAAAATAAAAATAGTGGTTGAAACTTTTTAGAAATTTTTCCTTTTTGTCAAAAATTATCTTTAAAACTTTAGCAATTTTTTAAAACACGTCAAATAATTCAAAAATCCTTCGATAAATTGTAACTTTTAAATATTTAGAATTCAGTTCCAAAAGTCATTTTCGGAAACCTTTTAATATGAGTTGCTTATTTATTATTACATTATTTTATTAAATATATAAATTAAGGCAAAAAAAAAATATTGGAAAAAATTGGGTTTGAAGAAAGCACCATCCTCAATGCTGAATTTTGCGTGCTGTCTTGCTTTGGCGCCGGCAGATCACTTTTTTGATGGTTTGGAAATAATTAAGGCCAAAGTTAAAGAATATCATCGAATATACCATTTAAAACTCAACAAATTCGTTAAGTATTTGAAGCAATATTGGGGAAAAAGGAGAGAAATCATGTGCGTTGGACATTTGCCTCATAGAACTAACAATCTGTGTGAATCATTAAACAGCAGGCTGAGAACAAAATTAGGAGGCAGTCATCCACAAATATGGAATTTTGTTGGTGAGAAAATTTCACTTTTTCTAAATAGATTACTTTAAGTCATCAATGAAATATCTAATAAATATTTTCATTTAAAAGCTAACATAGATATTTACTTTTGTTTTTTCCAGATATCTAAACGCATAATTTTGTCTTTTTGTATTATACTTATTAAAAATTTGAACTCTTGTTTAATTAAAACTAGCGCAAGCGCCAGCCGCAAGCGGCCGGCTTCTTTGCTTCTGTTTTTTTTCACTCAAATTATCCTTTTTCATTTTTTATTTAAGATTACGATTTATAATATTTTCCTTTTAATCTTGCGTTTATAATTGCTATTTCCTAATTATTTTATTAATAATACTGCAAATTTAAACGCAAACATAGAAAATCATTAACTCGGATCTCGACATTTTTAATAAATTAAAGGGTGACAAATATAATTTTGGACTCATTTCGGGATGGCTAAACCTCTGTTTGAAAGAAGAAGGTAAGTCACCTCTAAATGAGTCCTAAATTTGATGGGTGACCGGCTTTAAAAAATTATAAACGCGGTTCTTAACGTTTTTAATAAATCCAATTTTTTCTCGGCGCAATCTTTTTCGGGCGTAATTCCATCGGCGCAATCTTTTTTTTCCTTTGCAATCCTTTCGGCGTAATCGTCTTTTCCCAGCGCAATCCTTTGGCACAATATTTTTTCCGGCGCAATCTTTTTTCTCGGCGCAATCCTGTCGGGGCAATTTGTTTTTCCAGCGCAATCCTATCGGCGAAATCTTTTTTTCCCGGCGCAATCTTTTTTTTAACCTATGTTATAATGTATTTTTTTTCTGTTAATTTTTTTAAAATACTTAAATTTTAAATTTTCGCGTGCTACTTCCAATTAACCAATTAGAGACGGTTCCTCATTCGAGTTAATCGATACTTTTGAGTTTTCGAGTGATTCTCGCAATCTTCCTTTTTATTCTTTTTTAAAAAGGACTAACCCTCTTTTGATTCTTACTCAATCGTTAAAACTATTTTGAAATTATAATGTAATGTCGATGAATACTTCATTAGAGAAAAATATTAGAAGCCCTACTTGAAAAATGGTCTGAAAACACCACTAAAATTTTACTATCAATGTAGCGTAAAATAATATTTAAGATATTTTTCAAACAGTCAGTATAGAATTTTCAAATTTACTAATTTACTTGTACATGTACAGTTAGAATGAAAATAACATTTGATGTGGAGTATAAGAGATTGGTTGATCTGAACTTAGGAAAGTTTATTGGAACGCTAATGCAGGAAAAGGACAAAGCTCGTGACATTACAATTTTTAAAGCTAGAGAAGATTTGCAAAGAAATGGGTTCGTCTAATACTATTTATACTAAGTTACAAAGGGGAATTTATTAATTGTGATGAATAATCTTGAATCTTTTTCAATTTTTTTAAATGTACCGAGTTTCACACGTCGAATTATGAAGGATTCATCAATTAATTGTTAATTTTAGTGTTTAATTTTTTTTTCTCTAAGAAAAGGGCCCATTCTTTTCATTCCTTGTATTAGTTATGTTTTTTTAGATATTTTGAAAATAATATTTATGTTTAATTAATTTTTTTATTATAATCTTTGAATTTTTTGATACTATGTAAATTTTTTTTATTATTATTTATTATTACTAATTTAATTATTTTGACGCATTGATTTAAAAAAAATACTTATAATGCTCACTAATTTTTTTTATATTATTCAATCCATAAAGAAAACCTAAACTACTTTTTTTTGCTTTTATTTATAAAGAAATAGGTATAAATATTTTTAAAATGTCGTAGAGAACACCTGCAGTTTTACGTATAATGATTCTTTTAATTCCACTTATTTGTTTGTACATATTTTCTAAGAAAATTTACAAAAAATTCTATATAAAAAATTTATGTCGAAAAATTATTATTTTCCTGGCATAGCTTTCTCCACATATATTATTTAATTTTAACTAGAATTTTTCTTAGTTTATATATTCAGAAAGAAAAACATTAAATAATTTTTCTTGTAGTAATCTACAACAGTTTTTGGCTACCTGTAGCAAGGCCTAAATTTAATTTTTGCAACCGCATTTTGTGCAACGAATTTATGTGCTTTCGTAAATTTTCAAGATTTTTTGAGTTTGATTATTTTTGAAGAAGAAATTTGAAATAAATGGAAAATCAACGAACACTTTTCAAGAGGTGTTAATGGTGATAATTGTTTTCCTTTTAAATAAAAAATAAGAAAAATAATTAAATTTGTAATTTTTCAAAATTAATTGCTTCTGATGTAATAAAAGCATTTCATGTTTTTGTTTATTTACTTTATGTGTAGTGAAAAAAACTCTTTCCACATAAGTTAATTTTTTTCTATAATGACAGAGAAAATTATCGCCTTTAACAGTTTGTACCAATAAAAAGATTACAATAAAAAATTAATTTAAGTTTTTATTTACTTATTTTATTTATATTTTAATGTTAAAAAAAGTTTTGTAGTTTTTTCAAAAATTTTAAATTATTTTCAATTTTTTTAAATTATATTTAACTCTTTCTTGATTTTTTTGATTTCTAAATTCACTTTTTTTTATTTCTTTCTAATCATTGATAACCCTAAATAAATAGTTTGGATTGTATCGGAAATGAACTTTATATTTGGCAAAAATGTATTATTTTTCTGGCTAAAAGGTTAACAAGACGACATATAAATAAAAATATTTTATTGATTATTTTGAATTTTAAAATATGCTCTATTACCGAGTTTTTATTAACTTAGTTTAAATTTTAATAAATGAATGTATTGAATTTGTAGATCGGCTTTTCTTGCAGCGATTTTAACGATTGTCATTTTTTTTAAGTTTATATTTGTAGATGTCAACGAAAGATCATTTTCATTTTTCTCGTTATATTTGCGGCTTGTATAAGGATGTCCGAATTGGAAGAAAAGTTAAGTAATTCTAGTGTTATCGTAGTGAATAAATTCAAATATTATTTGTCGACATCAAATAAATCTACAGCTTATTGTGCTATGAGAAGAAAAAAATGCAAGGCAAAAGTAAATCTCGAAGATGGGAAATGGCAATGCGGACAGGAAATACATAACCACGATGCTCCTGAAAATGACTACGAGATTCAAAAGAAGGCAGAAGAAGAGATATTACGAATATGCAAAACATCAAGCGAGAGTTTTAAAACAATTTTCGATCAAGTTTGCGAAAGGTAAAGCATTTTTTCACCTTATAATTCTTTTATTCAATACAAAACGTCATTGCGTAAACAAAATATTTTTTCTCTGAATGAATGTTTTTTACAAATTATTATAATAAAAAATAACTTTTTTTGGTTATTTCCATTTAATTTAATGGTAAAAATTTCAATACTAATAATAATCGATGAATTAAGCTATAATGTGAAATATATGTCCAAAGTGTGAAGTTTGAAGTTGGTCTGATTTCATGAGATTTAATTTATTTCATGTACGTTTTGTCAAACGTGTATTAAAATATTGATAAATGTGACTTTGTGCTTATTATTAAAATTGTTAATTTAGTGAAAAAGTCACCCTATCTTTCAATGGATTAAGGCCTCGAATGATGAAAGCTAGGATGGAAAAATTTGAGACAGTTAAAACAAGCACTCAATTCTTTCAAGCGCTGAAATCTTCGGACACACACTGCAAGTCAATTGCTCCAGGAGTCGAAATTTTAAAGCTTTCATCGATCAAAAGCGATGTTGAAACTTTATACATCGACGATTCTTTTCAAGTAATTTTGAATTTAAATTTTTTCTCAAATTTTTAAAAAATCTATTATAAACTATAAACTTTACGTGCGTTAAGTGTCTCTTGTATAAAAAAATATGTAATTAAGTTTTTCTCTGCTATTCATCTAAAAAACTTAGTAATAAAGATTTCTCTTGTTATTAAATAAATATTATTTTTTGCAGTTGGAATTCGAAAAGTTTGACGTAAAGTTCATTAACTTTATTATTGAAGATGCAGGAAAAGTATGTTTTTTAATCAATTTTTACATTACTACTAAATTTTTAAATTAAAAAAATATAATATGTCATAATTTATTTTTTTATTCATTTTACATTTTCATAAATTAATAAAATTGTTTTTAATAGCAAAAAATTTTTCTTTTCGATTTCCAAGGGTTTCATAGTATTTTGTGCAGTAATCATATCACTGAGTGCGGCTATTATAAGAGAAATATTGAAAGAAATTCTATCAATGCCATTTATGCAAAATGTGAAGACAATTGTGGGCCCTCACGATTTGGACTTTAAAAGAAATTGCCAAGAAATGTCGTTAAACGTTTTTTACAAGCCTGGATGGTATCATTTTCGACAGGTATCTGCTATTTCATAATGTGTAAAAACTTATTTTTAAAATTATTAATTTTTTATTGTTTTCTGATTATTGAGTGTTCTGATAAAAGCCAATTGATATTTATTGAAAGCATTGAAAAAACTGAAAACTTATCTTAAAAATTAATTAAAAAATTATAACCAATGCTTTTTGAGAAGCTCCGTAAAATAAATGAAGAAAATTATCTAAATAAATTATGTCAATTACATTTTTTTAAAGATATTAACAAAAAAAGATATCTCAAAAATGGGCAATACTGAAAAAAATATATAATGGGGAAACGCACACATACACGAAATTAGGAATATTTTTTGAAAACATAATTCTTGACTTGATACAAAACATTGAAATAAATCGAAAAATCACAAATAAAAATTTTAAAAAATTTAATACTTTAACAATGATGAAACAATATATTACTGTCAATGTTAATATTTAATCACTTTCCTCATAAGTCAATTTCAACTTAAAAATAATATTTTCAGATCATGAAAGAGACTTTCATCGAGAATGAATTTAATTCGGACTCTGATGAAATTTTAACGGCAAGTTATGTCATTCCATTAGTTCCAACCCAAAATCTTTTTGATGCTCAAGGAGAGTTTATTAGCTGTACCGAAAAATCGAATGCGTACAGTAAATTCTCTAACGACGTCATAAAAATAGTTTCTAAAATTGGATCTGAAATATGTATTGTTTCTGACAATGTGGTTACACACAATAATATTTTTGAAATCGCTGGAAAACAATTTGATTTAGTAAAAAAGAGCAAGTCTCCAGGACAATTAATCGGTAATTTATTTTCTCACATAGAATTAATTCAAGTTTTTTAAACAAAATAGTTATCAAATAATATACTTTTTAATAAAACTAATTTTTCCACAAAAATTTTTTTAGAAACTCTTAACGACTTGATGACGGAGCGACAAAAAACAAAAGTTATATCAGAATTTTCTAAAATAATTGAAGATACTATTCACAAATTACAGAACGTTCCGAGGTAAACAATTTTACTAAATATAACTTATTATAAAAAATTTTATGATTAGTTGCTTATTAATTATATTATTTCAGATTGACCGTAAAAGCAGCATTTAAACTTATGCACGATCAAGTTAAGAAAAGTTTTAAATACACAAAACGTGAGTGATTTAGATAATTTTTTCCAAAACAATTATTTACATTTAATGAAATTCTGACGTTTAAGACCTTTTTTATTAACTTAATTTTAAAAATATCAACTTTTACCAACACAACCGACTTTGATCTTTTTTACGGTATTAATATGAAAAAAATATATTTTTTAAAAATATTTCTTATGAATAACATAAGTATAAATTAATAGTACCACCGATGGTCAAACTTCGAAAGTTTAACTTTGAATTGACATCTGAAGACAACAACGGAGTAGAGTCTTGTGAAAAACGTATGGACGAATTAAATGAACAAGAACTTGATGTAGAGTTGACGGAAGGTTTGTCACTTCTATATTAATAAATGCTTATAATTTAATCAAGTAGTTGGCATAATACGTTCTCATCTGACCGAAGAAAGCCTAAGGGTTAAAATTGAGGAGCACGATTGCTACTCAATTTTCTATCCCCTTTAGCTTTAGTTCATTTTATTTATTTTTTAAATTTATTTTAACAAAATAAGGTCCTTCTTTTAAATATAAATAAATCTAACTTGTATTAAATATTAAATATTATCAATTATTTATTTATATTTATTTCAGTTTTAATATTTACACCAGAATCCAATGCCACAAGTGATCTTCTGGACGAAGGGTATAACTTTTCCTCGGATGCAGGCATGGAGAGTAAGAAAGCACTTTCTTATAGATTATGTTTTTTTATTAAAAAAAAACAAAAATATACAATTTTATGAAATAAAAAGCAAAAAATATAAAATAATAAATTTCAGATTTGCTTAGTGAATTACTTAGCACAGAATTTAATCAGGTTTCAAAGCAGATGCATCAACAAAAGGATGAAAATCAGTTAAATAGTAAGATAATTAAAATAAAAATTATCTATAATAAAATTAGTAAATAGAAGAATATAAGCATCTCTTAAAATACGAAAATAAATTTTAGATCTGAATGATGAAATACTAAAAAATAATCATGAAGACTTAGCAAAAAGTGAATTTATCATTAAGATTGATCAGATGAGTCAAACTGAATCGCTGATTGTTGAAAATGATGGAAATAACTGTAAAGGTAATATTCAAAATGAAATATTTCTGTGAAACATTTCTATAAATTATGTTCATTAAAGTTTTTAAAAATCTATCTAAGTAAAAGAAAATACACTTGAGTACATTTTGTTCTGCAAGCAGAACGTTTGTCTGATTCTTTGCAAATTCGGAATTACAAAATTAAGAACTAGGTAAATTTAATGTTTTGCCTCACTTTCTCCTACTCTTGTCAGTTTGAAATTATGGACAGAAAATGAAAATATTTTCTAAATATAAATAAGATATATATTATTATTATTATCAAATTTCAGAAATGAAGGATCAAGCACCGCAAACCGAAAGTCTATTAATTACAGTAGATAAAGGGACTCAAACTGAGGATATTGTTGACATGGGTAGTAGACAGGATCTACATAGACAGAATTTTCGAGGTAAAATAAAGAAATTATTTTTGTCTATACATTAATGTTTTCACAATAACTCATTATAGAATTTTATGTATATTTAAAATCTAGATTCTATAAACATTTCTATTTTATTATAATTAGATAATTATTTTATCCATGGCAATTCGTAATTATAGGCAGAGAATTAAAATATTTTATTATACATATAAATACTAATAAAAACTAAATAAAAATTTAATTTTTAGGGCCACATCCCTACTACAGATTCCACCCATATCCACAAATTCCACATCCACAACAAGCAGGAGATTGGACAGCTCCGATTAGCAAGTTTAATAAAATTATTATTTTTTTTTTATTACAGCAGGACAATTTGGATATTCTAGAGATTTATAGATGCTTTAAAGTCTCTAAAATATCTTAATATATCTGATGCAAAAAATTTACGTTAAACATTGAATTAATATTAATTTCATATAGTAAAAAAATTTTTAATTTTTAGTGCCCCTTGCATCTACTAGCTACAGACCGAACGGTAAAAGAATTGAATAATATTATTCTTCTAAAATAATCAGTTAAATAAAAAAAATAATGGAATTATTTTTTAGTCACAGAGCCGTTTGTCAGACCACCAGGATATGGAATTCAGGGTTCAGGGACCATAGCACCAGAATATGGATTTCAAGGTCCACAGTTTGACTTGCAGTGGGGATTTCAAGCTCCACAGTTTGACCGGCAGTGGGGAAATGAAAACAGTAAGTTTTATAAATTTTTAATTCATTTTTAAAACTTTCAAAAGTTTTAAATTATACTGCCTATGTTATAATTTTGTATATTAATTTTATTTTCTCAATCTTGTGTGGAAAAAGGTCCAATATTTCCACAAGTAGCACGAATCCCAGTTTTTAATTGTTAAAAAACACGAAAGAAAAGTTAAAGGTTTATTATTTAATATTTTACAATTTTCCAGATGCACCATTCAAAAGACAGAGAAAACCAACTGCCCGATCTTACAATCACAAAATGAGAAATTACTACAACAAGCAATATTAATTAAATTATTTTCAGGTTTTTTCAATGTTATAATTTTATTTTTCTATAATTTATAGTATTTGTTTCTTAATATATAATAAATGCAAATTTTCATCAAGAAATAAAGACTCCAGGGATAATGCTACAGAAAAACATACAAAGTGGACTTATTTTTAAACCCTTCCTCAAAATCAAACCTTTGTGCAAAATCAATATGTTGGTACGTATTTTAATATACATGTATAATATTGATTTAAAAAACAAATTTCATAGGTTATTTTAAAATTAGCCAAACTTATCTATGTCATGTTCAAATTAAACTTTAAATTTTTAAAGAAAAACATTTCAGAAATTATTCTTTATTACTATTAATCAAAACAAGTTTAACTTAAAATTAATTTAAAAATAATTAATCAGGTAGATAAATCAATTAGAAAATTCAAATCAGTCAAAGTGTAAGGCGAAACTGTACGTAATAAGCCAGAAATTGAACATCGATTTAATTGAAAAAGGTTAACCAAGTACAAAAAGTTCTTCGAAGCAGATAAAAAGGTATATTTCACTACAATAATTTAACACAACACTTTGTTTTAAACTATAAATCTGTCGATTACCGGTGAAATTTTTTTACCCTTTGTAATTGACATTGTTGATATAAGTCAATATTTTTTCCGGCATTATTTTCAATCGAACTTTTATTTTGTAATAAATTTAATTTTTTTTATTTTATTAGCTTCATTATTCAGGATTTCAAAAAAAATTGCCAATAAAAAATAATAGAAATTTTAAAATAAATTATAATTTTGAGATTTTGAGAATTTTTTCATTTTAAATTAACAGGTTAGAATTCCAAAGACCATTTTTTTCATAAATAATCCACAATATTCATCAGAAAATTTATTCGAAAAAATTTAAACATATTAAAAAACAAATGCAAAATGTTATCCACAAAAAAAAATTAAAAATTCCATTTAAAAAATGTTGAAAAAATGCAATAAATGTTTCTAAGAGAATTTTTTTATTTTTAAAAGTACATAAAGCTATGAAAATTTTTAAAAGCTAGTAGAACAAGACTCATTTCGAGTTTAAAAAACATTTATTCAAAAAATTATTTTTCAAACTAGGTTTCTCACAAATTATGCCTTCAAAATCATGAAGAAGTAAAATATCTTATATTCAATTATTTAAAAAAATTTAAAGCTAAGCAGGTTGCCCAATACAATTATTTTGACACTACTAGAAAATTAATTAATTAAATTATTAACAAATAGATAATTTTCTCACAAAATAAATGAATTCTAAAAGTTGGAAAGAAAAACTTTTATATTTAATAAGTTACTCACACAAATGTAATGTATAAAAAAGTTTTATTATTATTATTATTATTATTTGTTCTTAAATATGTTACTTTAAAATTATACCTACCAATTAAGGCAGAAGAAATAAATTTTTCAAAATAGTCAGATAGTTTAAAGAATAAAAACTAATAGAGTTTTCGAAAACCTATATTTTTTTCTAAAGTTTCTAAAAAACTAGCAAAAATTTATTAACAAAACCGGTTGTGCAAAACGATTTATCTGATATTTCAAAAAAATTAAAAATTAATTAAATGTATACATTTTACAATAATTATAATTGTAAATTAAAATAAAAAAAAATTGTAAAACTTTATGGATAAATACTTTTTAGAACAAGTTCATGCCTCCTAAACAGTTGGAGAGGAAGTTTTTAAAGTTTCAAAAAAACTAGCAAAAATTTACTAACAAAACTGGTTGTGCAAAACGATTTATCTGATACTTAAAAAAATTAAAAAATCTAATAAATGTATTTTTTTTACAATAATTATATGTCTTCCAATAGACAAAGAAGAAAATTAAAAAAACCAACCAAGTAAAATATGTGACCATTGGGTTCTACAACACCCAATTTCTATTTTTGAAGAATTTATTATAATTGTTTGATCTTAAAATCGTTCTGCACAAATTGTGCCGTCAAAATCTCGAAGAAGTAAAATGCCTTTGCAATTCATCTATCGATGAATTAAAATTAAAACAGGTTCATAAAAAAAATTATTTTGACATTAATGCAACAATTATTACTTAAACTACCAAATAAATAATTTTATCAGAAATGATAGAAGAAAAATATGAAAAATAGTTGGAGAGGAAAAATATTTCATTTTAATTGTAAATTTATATAATTTGAAAAAAATAGTTCAGCAAAACTAATTTATTCTTAAAATATTATGCCTTCAAAATAATTTAGAATTCTAAAAATTTCTATTATTGAAAAATTTATTATAATTGTTTTATCTTAAATGCGTTCTACACAAATTATGTCCTCAAAATCACGAAGGAATCACGTAAAAAATCTGATATTTTCAAAAATTAAGAGCTATATAGGTTCCGTAAAACTGTCAATGATAAATTTGAATTTCGAAAATTAGAAAATTTTGTAAATAAGTATTTTGTACCTTAAATATATATGCCTTCCAATAGATGGAGAAGTCATT